AGCAAGATTAACTAACAATCTGTATTTATGGATGCAAATTAAATAAATGTAAAAACAAGCTTTGCTACTTGGTAGGTATTGCTTTAATTTAACCATCTTTAATCCTATTGCATGTTTTTATTGTGAATTGAAACTTTTACACAGTTTGATATATTGAAATATATATCAGCCTTCTTGGGCTATGGAAGGGTTTCAACTCTGCTGACTGTCTCCACCCCATATTTTTGAAGGTTTACCTTTGGCCAAATAAATGGCACGCTGCAGAACAGCAAGTACATTTCTGGTAGGAATACTAACATGAAAAACAAATGCATATTCAGTTCATTTGGCTGATATAGAATTAAAATGAAAGTGCAACTTTAAAAGTATATCTCCATTTTTAAAAGCAAACTATTTTATATTGGGTCTAAATTTGTCAGCTCAGAGGCTATATTGAAGATGATTAGGTCTTCAAGGAATTGCTGAACATTCTTGCCTTATCTCATAAAGTGTTTAAACTATATTTGAAATGAAATTTAAACAACCAAGATTTATAGTATTTCCTTTTGCCAAGAGTGAGGGATCTATTCCTTCCTCAGTACGCATTCCAGGTTTATACATGTTGAAAGTGCATCAAGGCTAGAAAAAAGATCAATATGAAGAACAGTATGCAAACTGTGAATATAGCACTTTTAGTTAATTATTAAATTGCACAGTATATGTTTTATAATTATTTAAAATTTAGTGCGGTTCAGTCTGCTGTTTTTACTTCCATAGGTGATTATTAAACTTGTAAATTCAGTTTGTGGTAGGCCTGTGCGAATAGGGAAGTATTCGATTTAGATTTGGCCGATTTGGAAGACAGTGATTCAGTTTGGAGATTTGGATTATTGTCCTGAATCAATTTGGCTGAATCAGCTTTGGAGAGATTTGGTGATTTGGATCAGCTAGGGAGAGGCAGGCACAGCTGCCTCTATCTGGGTAGGGGGGGGCCACAGGAGAAGCCCCCATGGCTGCCTGCCCAGCCCCAGCCTAGTCCCAGCACTTAAAAAAAAAAAGAAGCCCCATACTAATTAGCTGCAGGAGCGGTGATAGGGGCCTCTGGGCGCTCGTGGCAGAGCCACCCCCATACAGTGTGGGGCAGTGGGGATTGCCCCCCTGGCACCCATGCAGAAGCTGCCCCATGGCACAGGTGCAGCGCCATTTGGCAGGGTGCCACACGCTGCCTGGGAGCTGAGGCCACTGGGCTGAGTGCTGCTGAGCTCTGGCTGACTGCTGGAGACACCCCAGCTCCCAGACAGCACGCGGTGCCCTACCAGGCTGTGCTGCACTCATGCCATGGGGCAGCTCTTGTGTGGGTATGCCAATTGGAGGGGTGATTCCTGCTGCCCCCACTGCCCTGCACTGCATGGGGAGCTCTTCCAGGAGTGCCCAGAGGCCCCAATTGCTGTTTCTGTAGCCAGTGAGTGCAGACCTCTAAAAAAAAATAAAAATAAATAAAAGCCCCACATTCACCAGTGGCAGGAGCGGTGATTGGAGCCTCTGGGTGCTCATGGCATGTCACAGGCCAGCTGGGCACTGTGAGTATATCAATTTAGTTGCAGACTAACTGAGCACTGCAGCTTTACTAGCCACTGGGCTATTTTGGTTTGGGATCAAGGGGGTGATGTTGGGAAGGAAAGCAATGACAAGTTTCACTTATAAAAAAGAATAATTTTTACTTATGACAACAAAAGATATAGTTTGCACATATGACAGTTAGTAAAAAGGTTAAGCTAATAAATAGACAACATAACAATACAGATTAAAATTGACAGTGATAATAAACAGATAAAGAAATTAACCAAGAGTTCCCACTTGATTAGCAACTTATCGATAGTCCCTCAGTTAGAAGATACTTGTCAAGTTGATTCAGCAAAGTCAGCCAACTTTTAACTGGGCTGTCGGAGGGGAGAACCGGGGGAAGCACCTCAGTCAGGATCTGGTCTTCGTTCTCTCAGGGGTAAGAGAGATCCGTGAGGGTATGGAACAGCAATGACCCTTCTCTTCCGTCCTTCCCAAGGGTTACTTTGACTTGCGTGTTCTTTTATATCTTATTTATGCTAATTTTTTGGTTATATAGCCATTCATAGTGTTACCTTATAATTGTTATTCTATGGGGTTAAAAGGTGTTAGAAATCATTATAATAAGTAACTGCCCAAGCTTGCGTTTACCCAATAAGCAAATCACACCACAACACTTTGGGGTTTGAGATTAACATGTCCCCACCTAAGTTCAACCCACTATGTTAATTATATCTTGTAATTAAATTTGTTACTTTTTTTTTTAAATTCTAAGCAAAATTTCATAAATCAGCTATGTCTGCGGCTATAATTTTCAGTTCCACTTTTTAAAGTTCATGCCGTCTGGAGATTAATACAAAAAGTTATATCTAAATCTTCTTCCAGACAGACAGGAAAAGTATTCCTATAGCTACTTCTGCAGATACCTCAAAAAGCAAATTTCTCTAGTTAAAGCTGCCCATTTGACCCATCTGGTTTTGGCTATCACAATGGCAGAGCCCCCCTATACAGCACGGAGCAGTGGGGGGCATATCAGGGATTGCACCCCACTTGGCACCTGCATGGCAGCTATCACATTATGTGCAACATGGCTTGGCAGGGCACTGTGTGCTGTCTAGGAACTTGGGCTGCTGGGGCTGAGCGCTGCTTGGCTCCAGCTGACTGCTGGAGCTGCCCCAGCTTCCAGACAGTGTATGGTACCCTGCCAAGCCATGCTGCACCCAGGCCATGGGGCAGCTGCCGCGTGGGTGCCAGGTGGTGGTGGTGGGGTTATCCCCACTGCCTCCCATAGACCCGCACTGCCTCTCACTGCCTCTCAGGGGGCTCTGCCGTCAGCCCTCACAGGCCCCAATCACCACATCCAGAGCCAGTGAGTATGGGACTAGGCTGGGATGGGTGGGGGATAGGGCTTCTCCCATCGCTCCTCCAGCTGTGCCTGCCTCTTCCCCATTGATGGGAGCTGTGGGGGCTCTGCCCTGCTGCTGCTTGCCCAGCTGGTACAAAGGGGAGGGGTGTGATGCAGCTGTGGCTTGCTCCAGGTGGCAGCAGGGCATAGCCTCCACTCCCAGCACTACCATGCCCACATCAGTGCTGGGAGCAGGGGCACTGCCCTGCTGCCACTTTCCAGCCAGTGCAGGGGATGTGGGATGTGGGCACAGCAGTGCTGGCACCTGGCGACCACGCAGAGCCGAGCCAAGCCAAGCCCTGCTGGCCCTGGGGCTGCTTGTGCCGCCTGGCAGCCAGGTGGCATTAGCAGCCCCAATGACGGCGGGACCTGGATCAGCTTTGTACAGTCTCCACGTGCTGGGCCAGGCCGGGCCGGGGTACACGAGCCACCTGGGGCTGACAGGACACAGCTCAGCTCTGCATGGTGTCTGCGCGCTGGGCTGGGCCTGGCAGCACGAGCTGCTCCAGGCAGGGTTATTTTGCCCCAAGTGGCACAATTTGC